GATTGTTGTTGACGACGAACCATTCAAGATCGTCTTCTTCTCTATTGTTCTCCATTAGATTCATAACCGAAACAAATTGAATTGAATCTAAAGAGAGAGAGAAAAAGAAGAAAACAAAAGAATTTGTGGATTTGTTTGTTATTGTTGGTGGTAGAAAGAGAGAGATGAGAGAAGAGATGAGATGGGTTGATTAGGGTTTTGATGTCTATAATGATAATTTTATTTTAGGATATAATTTTCATTAAAATAAAATTTCATTAAATATGTGAACATAAGCAAATATGTGGAAATAGAATTTCCTTTCAGAGTAGAAAGATATGAACATTTAATGGCCTAACTAACTCCTTACACCCTCAAATTTTTTTTTTTAATTTTTATTTATATTTTTATGATTTATACAATAGGTTTAGCATTTTTTAGATTTAAAGAGAAGGAGAAGGAGAAAAAGAGAGGTTAGAGAGGAGAGTAATAAAGAAATTGTATAAATTATAAAAATAAAAAATAAAAAAATTTGAAGGGGTAAAGAGTTAGATTAGTAGTGTTACTAGAATCATCGGAAATTCTATTTCCACCCACTTAATAAACTCAAGGCAAATCTTTTCTTACTACATATCCCTATTTATTTGATTATGAACTAATTTGCTCAATCCACACCCTTAAAATTACAATTAGATCCATGTTTCATAAATGATACACACACTTTATCTGAAAATGCACACTTTATCTTAAAATGCGCACACTTTAATTGACTTTAATTGAAATTTATAGTCCACCCACTTTTCTGAAAACATTGACTTCGTTGAAACAGAGGGGAAAAAAAAAAGTTTTGAATTTTCTTCACCTCCATTGAAGAACTTGTAGAGATCCATTGACTCAAAACTATTGAATCTTTTGTGCAAGGTAAGAAATCTTTTCATTTTCATATTACATTTATCATTTTGTTATTACATTTACCATTTTTGGATATATCTGCAGTCCATTGGCATATAAAGCATCGATTTTTCCATGGCTGGACGGGTTGGAGCTTTCGGGACTGGGTTTTCGAATTTTTTTATTTAATTCGGAACTTAATAATTGAGTAATGGGTACATTTTTGACTTATTAAAACTGAAAAAAAATACAAAATTTTGAAGTTTTTCTGCCAAATTTATTATATTTGTTCGGGCTAATAGTTCCGAATTAATTGTTTAATTTCGGCAGTTGGTTTCTGAAATTTTTTTGTTTATTCGGCACTGAAGTTCCGAATGGCTTTTTTTTTTTTTTAAACACCAAGTTACATAGGCTACCAAGATTGGTTTTGCTGTAGGTTTTTCCAACAATTTTATTTTATGAGTATGTTTATGTATTTATTTGTTTATTTATTTTTTGCAAAATTGAATGCATAACAACAGAAACAAAAATCTGTGCAGTATTGGTATTTTCACATTATATTGTTAGCTTAAGTAGTTAAACATAGGTCTTCAAAAAGGCTGTTATTTAAATAGCTGAACAAAACAATTGCATTACATAGAACATTAGGGGTTTGTCCTTTCAAAACATTGAAATTGGGTTCAAATTTGGTGTTTGGTTGTATACTTACAGCTACAATAAATTTACAATCAAATAGAATGTACAAAAACAAGTGATGGGCAGTCCTTTGATTGTTTGAAAAATGTTGGTATTGATTAATGACCCTGCTGCCTTGGTAAATTGGCCGAAGTGAAGTTAATATGTTTTTGGCATGTTGTGAACATTACCAAACTAATTGGTGAATGGTCTGTACAGAATACAAATAGTTTTGCTATATCCATGTTTATATTGTAATTTTTCAACAAATCTTAGTCTCACTTTTTCATCAGTAGTAGGGTTATGTCCTTAGCTTATTTTGTTAATTTTACATCATCCAAATTGTCAATTTAATGGTCTATAACTGAATATTAGATTTCATTAAGGTGGCATGGTTAGGCTACTTATTACCCGTATTGATGCGATCATTTTCTGGGAGTGTTCATATTGTTTCATTATATTGGGTTGATGAGAAAAATTTTCCTTATGCAGATGGATGCCGGTCCCAGTCAATGTCAGTCAGTAACAGCTTCGAATAGAAAGACTCTGTGAATTAGAGAGACGTGGACGTAGACGTGGATGTGCTCAAGTGCATGATGATGACACGCACATTGCCATGGATGATGATCCTATACACGATGCACCAGTTATGGATGATATTGCTATGGATGATGATCCTACTGGTGATGATGCTAACATTGTTGATGAAGATATCCTTACTCAGCCATTTCGGGGAGGGCCAACTGATCCATCAATCCTTAAAAGTTTTAAAAGTCATGTTGCCGCAGCTATTTGGAATGGTGCTAATGAAAAGGGACCCTTGAAGTGTCATAATCACTCGTCTAAGATTCGTTCATGGCCGTGGTGGGAACAAGGAAACAACGCTACATTAGTAAACATTGTGGAGATGTCAAGACTTGCACAATTAGCTCGTTGCACATACCGCTTTGTCAACAAAATTGTAGTGTCTAGTTTTGTTGAGAGATGGCAACCAGAGACAAACACCTTCCATTTGACTGTTGGAGAGATGACTATCACATTGGACGATGTCACCACTATCCTAGGGCTTTCCATTGTAGGCAAATCTATTAGTGTGCGTAAGTTGTCAGAAAGGCGGGCCATTGCACTAGTAGTTAATACCTTGGAAATTGATGAGCAAGAGGTCAGACATGAGATGTCTAGTGCTGGAGGCAATTTAGTAAGGCTTGAGTGGTTGAGGGCACACTTTCATAATGTCACAGACAATGATTCAATGGAAAGAATTACATGTGCAGGTAGAGCATACTTGCTATTTTTGTTGGGTTGTACACTTTTCAGTGACAAGACTGGTAGTAGAGTCCCCGTTGTTTATTTGAGTTTGTTGTCCGATTTGACGACTGTATCTTCATATGCTTGAGGTGTTGCTGCATTGGCATACTTGTATAGATAGATAGGATACGCTAGCAGGTCCGGCATGAAACAAATAGCCGGTTACATGACACTTCTTGAGGGATGGATTTATGAGTACTTTCGTGGATTCCGACCACACTTGAATATGAATTACACTCGAGACATGCCACATGTTTACCGTTGGACTTCTCGGAGATAATCTGGTGAAGAGACATAGTTACAGGCTTTTCGAGAGGAGCTAGATAGGTTGGGTGTACATGATGTAAGTTAGAAAGTCCTTCAAAATTTGAAACTTTATATCATACAAAATTTATAGTTGTCATATCTTACAATTGTTATTGTTTGTAGGTTATTTGGAACCCGCACCAGAGTTGCAGAGATGTCCATCCGTGTCACCCAGTTACGTTCTACCACGGTTGCCTAAAGTGTTTGGAAGTAGTTAAACCATATCAGCCTGATAGAGTTTTGATACAGTTTGGCAGAGTGCAAACAATCTCTAATCTACCACTTGGCGCTATGCATGCCTGTTGAAGAGCCACAGCTCCATGCTATAATGTTATGTATGCATACTTGGATATCATTTGGGAGGCATGTGACAACCATGTGTTGTCTGATCGCTGGAGGAGTACACTGGTACGACAATCTTGGGATTGTGTTCTTAGTAACATGGATTGGTACCAAACCATTACCCATATGTATGTTCAAAACCCAGCGCGTCGTTCTCAGGTGGACCCAAATATTCATCATTATCAGTATCCTAGCCAAAATGCACAAGTACTTTTTTTTTAGGAGCACCATTACAAATTATTTATGTAAACTATTATAGGTTTGTGTATAATGTTGTATTTGTTCTCGTAATGTAGCGTATGTCACAGATATATCAGATTACTCATCTTTTCATTGAGTTGATAGACTTTACTACGCAATTGATACGATTAAACAACTTCTTCAAGATTAGCACATTAGTGAATCTGTGCCCAACACATCCGTTTAGGGTCGGTCTGCACCCAACTCTTCTACTACACATCGTTTTCGAGCACATTACACTCGCCAGTCACGTAGTTGATAGTAGTTCATAATGTTAGCACAGGTAGTTTCTGATGGTGTTAGTAGATGTATAAGAAGACAAATATTATTGTCATCTTTGGATTATGTATAACGAGACATGTATTTTGTGATGATGTGGATGGATTGAACTACTAGTTAATATTACTAGTTCTTCTTACATACTTGTTGTTTAATATGAAAAATCTTTAATAGTAGTTGCACTTTGTTAATATTATTTTCATTACGTTTTGTGTTCAGACAATGTAAAAATAATATGACATCTATTCCATAAATAAGAGAACTATAACTTATATGACATTGTATTTAAAAAAAATGACCATTAAATCAATCTATGTGAACTAGTAAATCATAAAACCTAATGACTGCTCTCCAATCTCTTAAACCTCTCATGACTGCTCTCTAATACATCAATCTATGTCAACCACATCAAATGGCCCTTGAGTAGCTACATTAGGTCCTATGCTGTCTTTGAATTTTTGAATGCGGCTAACATATGCATTCTCCCATTCTGATACACAATTGTGATGGTGAACTCGCCAAAGCACAACAATGGGAGGAACTGGATGACCGGCCTTCAAAAATACCTGCATGTACATCCAAAAATTGTACACATCTTTACCAAATCCATTAAATTTGCAATTACAAAAATATTAAACAACAATGTACAGTTATTTCATAACTTATATCTGCACAAAATGATTTCCATTGACAAATCTAATGGCAATCTCACGACGATCAACTAGGGTTACTGGCGGTGATCTCAAAGGCAAGAAAGTCAGACACTATTGTAATGACAAGTGGTACAAGACTACATTATAAAATGATGCAATAAGATATCCCATGTCAGGCATAGTCATCCAACGATCAAAACTTGCGCTATCTTCAAAATATGAAAGGATGTGTGTCAGCTCCTCAACCCTCTCATGCGACCCGTATAGTACGACGTATTCATCTCTGTAATTATTCAATTCAAGTAGCAGATCACGCCTAACTTGGACCTAGTCATTCTCTCCAAGACCAAGTAAACCCGCAATAGCTCTAAAACCACAATTCCCATCACCATCTGCATCCTTCATCAACTTTATGAATGGTATTAACATAGGCGGGAAGTCACCAACATATGCACTCGGCAAACTTGTTCTTGTACGATATGTCTTTGTCTTCACATTCCGCTTCTTATCAAGCACTTTCAAAGCTCTCTTTTTCTTTGACTGACTGGAAGCTAATGTGCTCTAGCTATCATGGTCATCATCAACCAACTCAAATGCACACGGGTCATGACGACAAGATATATTAGTTTTCTTATGTCCTCGACATGGATTAGGTTTCACATCAGGCTCAATAAGAAAAGTGCTCGCTGGATTTGCAATTTCCCTCAACTTCTTCAACATATCTAATTTCATGGCAATATCAGACTCATTGAACCGCTTCAAAATCATCTTAAGTTCTGGGATACAAGTCAATTCCAATTTCTCAACCTTCGGATTATGCACACATATAGTCAGTCACATCCAATGTACATGTATGCTACTGAGTGGAATAGGACGACCTTGTCTCATGTAATCTGCAATCTCGTGAACACAAGGTAAACCATGTGTGCGCCTAAGAACACACCCACATGCTGCAACATCAATTCCAACTGAATTTGCTCTCTTACTCTTTGCCAACACGTACTCCAATGCATAAATAGACACATTATCTCAGAGCTCTCTAAATTGAAAAGGTTTGAATTGATGTTGCAGAGTTGTCAAACTCTTCTCGAATGATGCTTTAACTTGAATGTGCTGCAACTCAAGTAGACAATGCATTTTTTCAAATGAAATCTCAAATGCCGTTTGACTTGAATCTAATTGCCTCTTCAATCTAGCATGAGCACTTTCAACCCTGTTCATATGGATATAAACAAAAATAGTCAAGCATAATAATTAAAAATAATAATATGATTTCAAGAAATAAAATAAAAAAAACAAATATTACCGATTTGTTGTAACATTGCCAAAATGCATACACATGCTTGTATGTACCGCAATGAATTTTTCTTGATACAGATTCAACCAACTCACTGTAACATACTTGATTGCGTCCGAATAGTTACTGAAATCCTTTTGTAGTGTTGCAAAGTGATCATTATATTCCTCTTCAGTCGATGACAATACTACATAGTTCCATGCAGTGTTAAACTTGTCTCATTTTTCTTTTGTCTCAAACATTTTCTTACATTTCGTCAATACATTCTTATTAATATGCCAACGACATAACAAATGTCGAGCATTCAGAAAAGTGTTGTCAATGGCATTCATCAAAGCAAGCTCTCTATCTGTGACAATGACTTCAGGTAAAACACTGTTGTCCATAAGATCACGTAATGTTTGTAACGCCCATGCATAATTATGAACCCGCTCAATTTGCAAGTATGCGACAGCCACGGAGAATGTCATATGAGTTGATGTCACTCCCACAATTTCAAGAAGAGGAAGCCGATATCTATTTGTCTTATATGTGCAATCCATAATCAACACACGAGGGAATATACAAAGCAAATCCAAACTCACTGGATTTGCCCAAAACAAGTCTGTGACAATCATAGAGCCTTCCTCACATCGATGACGCTCAATGTACTTATGTTTCGCTAATTCACCAGTAGTTGTTGCATCTGGGATTTGCCAGCTTTCTGTAGAACTCCACATCGATGTCGTACATTGCAAACTGTCTTCATTGTGCTCATATTAAGGGCATCCCTCTATTTGAGTGTAATGAGTATCTCTTTTGGTCTTACTAGGCTCTTTGACATGTCTACTAACAACGACTTTTCATTAGTTGACAATCTCCCTGCATATGAATGTCCTTGGAGATGCTCCGCAGCCGGATGATTATACAATCCACAAACTACATTCAATATCCATTTATTGTTTGTTTTCAACTTGTATGCCTTCAAATCAAATGGACATTCGCACTTCTTCGTATCAGTTTGTCTCAATAAGTCTTTTGAGCCATCTTTCAACTTTTTACGTGATCTATACTTCCCACTCTGCTCACAAGCAAGATAAATTCTTGGTCTCTTGATACTGCTACCATAGTCTGACGTCCTTATAATAATAACAAAGCCATTTGCCTTTCCAATATCACGTACCCAAGTGAGCAGTTCATCTTTGCTGTCGAAAACCTATATATAATGTCACACAATTTTCATAAGAACAAACTAAACAAACTAATTAATAAAAATTATGAACTTATGAATTTCATGTTAAAGGTTACCTGTTTAGCAGTAAAATAACTAGTACAATCCACCATAATATCCAATTGAACCTCAGTTTCTTCAGTGGATGTGATCTGAAGAAAACAATTTTCATTCGGTTGTACAGAGCCAAAAATAATATAATAATTCGGCACTAAAAATTCGAAAATAATAGAATAATTTGGCACTAAAGAGCTGAAAAAAAAAAATAATTCGGCACTCTATAGCTGAACAAAATGAAATAATTCGGCATTTTATAGCCGAACAAAATTATAAAATTCGGCACTTAACAACCGAAATAAGTCTCAAGATTCAGAATTTAACTATCGAAATTTATCAAAAATTCGGAACTTATAGATCGAAATATGACTATTATTTCAGAAGTTGACTTTCGAATATTTTGATAAAATTTCACACTAACTATCCGATTAAAAAACGCAAAAAAAATAAAAAAATAAAAAATTAATGCACGAAAAAACTAATCTTTTCAGCACTGATTTTGGTGTCATCAGATATATTTTTGCTTGAGTTTGAACTTTCATATGTTTGCAACTCTTTCATATCAAAATCAAATAAAAATTGTGAAACTAATAATTAAACGATGTAAATAATAGAGTAGAAATTTAGAGATTAAAACAACATAAAAGATGTTGAGAGTATTGCACATAGTGTGTAACTGTTGGCTTTTTTGGCTTTCGAAGGTTACTTTCGTAATTATGAGCGTGCCAGCAAGGATCAATCAGTCCTTACAGAATTGCCAAACAATTATTCAGACGATTGTGTTATGGTTCTTTCGGCCTCAATAAAGAGGACTTTTACTGGTGGCTTACTGGTAATTTAACTTCAGAAAATTTGAACATAAGAACAGTTAACTAAACTGGAGTATTTCATTAGTATAAAAAGAACTTACAATGATCTCAGTTCCGTAGAGAATTACAGCGGCAATATACTCGACAACTACTCCTACAAATGAAGTGCAGCGCAGAAACTTAAAATACAGGAATATAAAGGACAGGAAATAACACTGGAATATGTAAAGTGATTCTTTAGATTTTTCTTCGTCCCTTTTCTGAAGTCCTTCCTGCTATTTATACTCTCCGAAGATAACCATCGAATTGTATTTCAAACCGTCGAATTGCTCCTCCGTAGTTGCTGATCATGCTACCTTATAAATAGTTCCACTACGCCTTTACTTGCAGTTAGGCTTCCCCCTTATATTCGAATTTGAAATGTGAGCAACCGTTGAAGCCACGTCACTGTACGTCTCTTTGTTGATCTGCTACTACTCAGATCTTATAACAACCAATATTAATTGCCACGTGTATGATCAGGATCGAAGACCTACCTGGTCTCCCCATATTACCCTCACTTCGCCACGCGTCGGATTGTCACTGGCTTAGTACAGAATGTGTAGCCAACATTACCCCCCGCACTAATATACCCAAGACTTGGTGATATTAGTCGATCAGAGTCCCTTTTCCCACGTCTTAGAACGTGCATGGGTTTTGCATCTTCCCAGAAATGCAACTGTCACACACCATCTGTATTAATACTCTCGTCTTGATCCTTAAGTACTTTCACTGTCTTATTATTCGAACAGACTGATACATTTCATGGCCAAATTAATTCTTTCTTCCAATGATGAAGCATACGAAGAGTCATATGTCGATGCTATTCCTCGTCAAAAGCATGCATTTATTAGCCACCTTTACCCACCTTTCTATATTCAGGTCATGGACACCTTTGCAAATTACCGACCTTTGGATTACGAACACATTGCTCTTAATCCTTTGATTCAGAAGGCTAAAATCAAAGACATAAGAATTTTCCCTTCTGACCTACCTTTACAGTTCGAACAATCTGCTCTCAAACCTCTGATTCGTAAAATTACAAATATGGATTTGAGCAACTCTTCTTCGCAAATTTCTGTATGGGATAAAGCTGCAGCTGCTTCCTCTTCTGGCTCTTCTGGAAGTTCTGACTGGACAAACTGGTCAGTACCTGAGACTCCTGATTTAAGGGAGCGAATCAACCACCATTTTGTTGAGTTCACTGACCCTTTAGAGTTTCCCTCCTATGCTCGAAGTTCAGTTGTTTATCCTTATGTGCCCATTGACCATCGGCGTAGTCTGGAGGAGAATCTTCTTGTAGCATGGTATACATCTTCCATGCCTACAAAGATAGTGCACACTGCCCCACGCTCAGAAGAAGCCCAAGGGTATAACCCATCATTCTTAGCCCAGAAGGCGAAGCTCTGTTCTTCTGACTGGCTTGATTATATTAATGCCTTTGTTCCTTCTGCCCCCGTATCATCCCCGGAAACAGAAGCGTCCACATCTTCTTCTTCGTCCCCCGAAGTTGAAGTATGCACACCTTCTCCCCCACCAATTCTTTCCTGGACAGAGAAACTAAAGATTGCTCTATCCATGGAGAAAGTCTTTCCCCCTTATAAACCTCCACCTCCTCCTACCTCAGCTGAACGGAAACAGGCTCTACTCCTGCTTGCAGCCTTTTCTCACTTGCCTTTCAATGTACTCGAGGATGAAGTCCCTCTCACAAACCTTCAATGGGCTTGTGATATTCTGACTAGGGGTCATGTCCTTAATCCTCTTGCTCAGGCAGAACTTCACATGTTTCTAGACCAACTTCCATTACTCCTTCACTGGCATCGCAATTCTATGGCTACTACACAATCGTTAGACCAGCTTTCGTCCCTTCGAATTCATACTCAATACGAAGCAGAGAACTTTATGGAAGAATTAAATGATTTCAAGAATAAAGACTCTGCCTATTGGGATGATTTAGACATTGATGAATTGGAACAAGGGTTAAGAGAAGTGGCCTTCGAAATAAAGGCTGAAGAGCTCTACTATGAAGTGAGAGCACATCAACTTATGCAGCCGATGGTAGAAAATTTAGAAGATAGAATAAGGAAAGAACAAAAGTTCATTGATCATTGTTGGACCAAATTTCATGATCTTGTTATTTATTCCATTCCTTATTTTTATGAGCTCGAGTTCATACCAAGATAGGGTCAGCTGATGTAATCACTCTGATCTTAATATAAACAAAATTTGTCTCTGTTTGACTCTGTCTTCACTTGTATTTTTTACTTGTGTTTTAAAAGTCAACTCAGAGCTTCGAACTTCGAACAATTTCATCATTTAAATTTGGACTTAATTGTTTTAAATAAAACACTAAATGAGCCAATTGTAACCTTTCCAATTTGTGGAGTTGAGTTTTGGCTGATTTTCAATTGGAAACAGTGCTTCGAATCTAACAATCTTACATTCAAAACCTGTTTTGACCATAGTCAACATCTTGTCATTGTCATTATTGCTTTTGATGTTTCGAACACCAAATCTCATCCTTAAAGAAACTCAAGTTTTGCTTCGAAGGACATTGCCTTTATTAAAGGAACTCAAGAAACAGGTCTTTAAGCCCTTTTCAAAATAAATACTCGAGTATTTTTATTTCTTGGGTAGGGCAACCCATTTCGAAGCTGGCTTCTCTGTTTTCGAAGCCGTTTGACTCGGCTTCGAAGCAAAATATCTTACTTCGAAGCTAGCCTTAACAACCGGGCTTTGTTTTTCCCTCCAAAAGCATCAACGTTGAAGGAAGCTTTTGTACTCGTACTTTTAATACTTAACAGCTCATGTAATATATTTTCAAATACGAGGGCTTTTAAAACCCTTTTGTTTCGTGTTCTGAAATCATCTGCTCTTCTAATCGCACAAACCCCTTTTATTATCAATCGTCGGCTTCTCTTTACTTCCTTTCCCGAAGAAAAACATACCGTCAATGGCTTCTCCTTCAGTATCAGTCGTAGAGCGTATGAGCCCATCTGTGGCCTTGAAGAGAATTATTGACGCGGAATGCGAAAAGTACAAAGCTGGGGAGAAGAGCGCTATTGATGGACGCATCTTTGTCCCTCGTCGCCATGTGCAGTCAGACTATGTGCTCGGGCCCATATTCAAAGAAGTCCTCACTGAGAGACATGCCACATGTTTACTCTTGGACTTCTCGGAGAGAGTCTGGTGAAGAGACATAGTTGCAGACTTTTCAAGAGGAGCTTGATAGGTTGGGTATACATGATGTAAGTTAGAAAGTCCTTCAAAATTTGAAACTTTGTATCATACAAAATTTACAGTTGTCATATCTTACAGTTGTTATTGTTTGTAGGTTATTTGGGACCTCGTACCAGAGTTGTAGAGATGTCCATCTGTGTCACCCAGTTACGTTCTACCACGATTGCCTAAAGTCTTTGGAAGTAGTTGAATCATATCGCCCTGATAGAGTTTTGAGACAATTTGGCAGAGTGCAGACAGTCCCTAATCCACCACTTGGCCTTATGCATGCCTCTCGAGGAGCCACAGCTCCACACTACAATGTTTTGTATGCATACTTGGATATCATTTAGGAGGCATGGGACAACCATGTGTTATCTGATTGGAGGAGAAGTACACTAGTACAATAGTCTTGGGATTGTGTTCCTGGTTACATGGATTGGTACCAAACCATTACTCATATGTATGTTTAAAACCCAGCGCATCGTTCTCAGGCAGACCCAAATAGTCATCATTATCAGTATCTTAGCCAAGATGCACAGATACTTTTTTTTTTAAGGGCACCATTACAAATTATTTATGTAAACTATTATAGGTTTGTATATAATGTTGTATTTGTTCTCGTAATGTAACGTATACCACAGATATATCATATTACTCTCCTTTCGTTGAGGCTGGCTATGAGGACAGTGTTCAACATCCTGAAAAACTTTATTACGCAATTGATGCAATTGAATAGCTTCTTCAAGATTAGCACATTAGTGAATCTGTGCCCAACACATCCGTTTAGGGTCGGTCTGCACCCAACTCTTCTACTACACATCGTTTTCGAGCACATTACACTCGCCAGTCACGTAGTTGATAGTAGTTCATAATGTTAGCACAGGTAGTTTCTGATGGTGTTAGTAGATGTATAAGAAGACAAATATTATTGTCATCTTTGGATTATGTATAACGAGACATGTATTTTGTGATGATGTGGATGGATTGAACTACTAGTTAATATTACTAGTTCTTCTTACATACTTGTTGTTTAATATGAAAAATCTTTAATAGTAGTTGCACTTTGTTAATATTATTTTCATTACGTTTTGTGTTCAGACAATGTAAAAATAATATGACATCTATTCCATAAATAAGAGAACTATAACTTATATGACATTGTATTTAAAAAAAATGACCATTAAATCAATCTATGTGAACTAGTAAATCATAAAACCTAATGACTGCTCTCCAATCTCTTAAACCTCTCATGACTGCTCTTTAAAACATCAATCTATGTCAACTACATCAAATGTCTCTCGAGTAGCTACATTAGGTCCTCTGCTGTCTTTGAATTTTTGAATGCGGCTAACATATGCATTCTCCCATTCTGATGCACAAGTGTGATGGTGAACTCGCCAAAGCACAACAATGGGAGGAACTGGATGACCGGCCTTCAAAAATACCTGCACGTACATCCAAAAATTGTACACATCTTTACCAAATCCATTAAATTTGCAATTACAAAAATATTAAACAATAATGTACAGTTATTTTCATAGCTTATACCTGCACAAAATGATTTCCATTGACAAATCCAATGGCAATCTCACGACAATCAACTAGGGTTACTGGGTGATCTCAAAGGCAAGAAAGTCAGACACTGTTGTAATGACAAGTGGTACAAGACTATATTATAAAATGATGCAATAAGATATCCCATGTCAGGCATAGTCATCCAACGATCAAAGCTTGCGCTATCTTCAAAATATGAAAGGATGTGTGTCAGCTCCTCAACCCTCTCATGCGACCCGTATAGTATGACGTATTCATCTTTGTAATTATTCAATTCAAGTAGCAGATCACGCCTAACTTGGACCTAGTCATTCTCTCCAAGACCAAGTAAACCCGCAATAGCTCTAAAACCACAATTCCCATCACCATCTACATCCTTCATCAACTTTATGAATGGTATTAACATAGGCGGGAAGTCACCAACATATGCACTCGGTAAACTTGTTCTTGTACGATATGTCTTTGTCTTCACATTCCGCTTCTTATCAAGCACTTTCGAAGCTCTCTTTTTCTTTGATTGACTGGAAGCTAATGTGCTCTGGCTATCATGGCCATCATCAACCAACTCAAATGCACACGGGTCATGACGACAAGATATATTAGTTTTCTTATGTCCTCGACGTGGATTATGTTTCACATCAGGCTTAATAAGAAAAGTGCTCGCTGGATTTGCAATTTCCCTCAACTTCTTCAACATTTCATGGCAATATCAGACTCATTGAACCGCTTCAAAATCATCTCAAGTTCTGGGATACAAGTCAATTCCAATTTCTCAACCTTCGGATTATGCACACATATAGTAAGTCACGTCCAATGTACATGTATGCTACTGAGTGGAATAGGACGGCCTTGTCTCATGTAATCTGCAATCTCGTGAACACAAGGTAAACCATATGTGCGCCTAAGAACACACCCACATGCTGCAACATCAATTCCAACTGAATTTGCTCTCTTACTCTTTGCCAACACGTATTCCAATGCATAAATAGACACATTACCCCGGAGCTCTCTAAATTGAAAAGGTTTGAATTGATGTTGCAGAGTTGTCAAACTCTTCTCGAATGATGCTTTAACTTGAATGTGCTGCAACTCAAGTAGACAATGCATTTTTTCAAATGAAATCTCAAATGTCGTTTGACTTGAATCTGATTGCCTCTTCAATCTAGCATGAGCACTTTCAACCCTGTTCATATGGATATAAACAAAAATAGTCAAGCATAATAATTAAAAATAATAATATGATTTATAAGAAATAAAATAAAAAAAACAAATATTACTGATTTGTTGTAACATTGTCAAAATGCATACACATGCTTGTATGTACCGCAATGAATTTTTCTTGATACAGATTCAACTAACTCACTGTAACATACTTGATTGCGTCCGAATAGTTACTGAAATCCTTCTGTAGTGTTGCAAAGTGATCATTATATTCCTCTTCAGTCGATGACAATACTACATAGTTCTATGCAGTGTTAAACTTGTCTCATTTTTCTTTTGTCTCAAACATTTTCTTACATTTCGTCAATACATTCTTATTAATATGCCAACGACATAACAAATGTCGAGCATTCAGAAAAGTGTTGTCAATGGCATTCATCAAAGCAAGCTCTCTATCTGTGACAATGACTTCAGGTAAAACACTGTTGTCCATAAGATCACGTAATGTTTGTAACGCCCATGCATAATTATCAACCCGCTCAATTTGCAAGTATGCGACAGCCACGGAGAATGTCATATGAGTTGATGTCACTCCCACAGTTTCAAGAAGAGGAAGCCGATATCTATATGTGCAATCCATAATCAACACATGAGGGAATATACAAAGCAAATCCAAACTCACTGGATTTGCCCAAAACAAGTCTGTGACAATCATAGAGCCTTCCTCACATCGATGACGCTCAATGTACTTATGTTTCGCTAATTCACCAGTAGTTCTTGCATCTGGGATTTGCTAGCTTTTTGTAGAACTCTACATCGATGTTGTACATTGTAAACTGTCTTCATTGTGCTCATATTAAGGGCATCCCTCTGTTTGAGTGTAATGAGTATCTCTTTTGGTCTTACTAGGCTCTTTGACATGTCTACTAACAATGACTTTTCATTAGCTGACAATCTCCCTGCATATGAATGTCCTTGGAGATGCTCCGCAACTGGATGATTATACAATCCACAAACTACATTCAGTATCCATTTATTGTTTGTTTTCAACTTGTATGCCTTCAAATCAAATGGACATTCGCACTTCTTCGTACCAGTTTGTCTCAATAAGTCTTTTGAGCCATCTTGCAACTTTTTACATGATCTATACTTCCCACTCTGCTCACAAGCAAGATAAATTCTTGGTCTCTTGATACCGCTACCATAGTCTGACGTCCTTATAACAATAACAAAGCCATTTACCTTTCCAATATCACGTACCCAAGTGAGCAGTTCATCTTTGCTGTCGAAAACCTATATATAATGTCACACAATTTTCATAAGAACAAACTAAACAAACTAATTAATAAAAATTATGAACTTACGAATTTCATGTTAAAGGTTACTTGTTTAGCAGTAAAATAACTAGTACAATCCACCATAATATCCGATTGAACCTCAGTTTCTTCAGTGGATGTGATCTGAAGAAAACAATTTTCATTCGGTTGTACAGAGCCGAAAATAATATAATAATTCGGCACTAAAAATTCGAAAATAATAGAATAATTTGGCACTAAAGAGCTGAAAAAAATAAAATAATTCGGCACTCTATAGCCGAACAAAATGAAATAATTCGACATTTTATAGCCGAACAAAATTATAAAATTCGGCACTTAACAACCGAAATAAGTCTCAAGATTCAGAATTTAACTATCGAAATTTATCAAATATTTGGAACTTATAGATCGAAATATGACTATTATTTCAGAAGTTGACTTTCGAATATTTTGATAAAATTTCACACTGACTATCCGATTAAAAAACGCAAAAAAAAAAAAAAAAAATTAATGCACGAAAAAACTAACCTTTCTAGCACTGATTTTGGTGTCATCAGATATATTTTTGCTTGAGTTTGAACTTTCATATGTTTGCAACTCTTCCATATCAAAATCAAGTAAAAATTGTGAAACTAATAATTAAACGATGTAAATAATAGAGTAAAAATTTAGAGATTAAAGCAACATAAGAGATGTTGAGAGTATTGCACAAAGTGTGTAACAAGTAAAGTGATTACAATAAAAAAATTAGAGTTTAATTGTTTTCATTCAATAGTTGTATATTAAGATATTTTTATTCTTAAAAGATATGTATAGAGAATTATGTATATAATATTAAGGGTGTTAATAGATATCTATCATAGTAATTTTTAATTAAGATATAATTATTATTAAGTTAATTTTTCATTAAATGTGTTGCTGAGTTTATCACGTGAGGTGGAAATAGAATATCATCACTCTGAGTAATGTTATAGATCACTAATTTATCATCACTAATAAAGTGATAATTAAAAAACAAAAAAAAAAAAAAAAAGAAAAAGACAAAACACAAAACACATGCGGCAGTGGATGGGCCACTGGTCTAAAGCATTTTTGTTAAGAAAATGAAATAAAAAGGGAGTGACGAGTGTGTCCTCACTTCTATATCCACCCAAAAAGTGTCCTCACTTCTCTAGGGCTTTGTAATCACTTCACAAAACGAACACACAAATCCACATTTCTCTTCTCTTCTCTTCTCTTCTCAGCCAGAGAACGATCTATTCAGGTGAGTTTGATCTTTGCTTCTGCTATTTTTTCAATGTTTGATCTTCACAATTCTTCTTGATGCCCTGTTACAGATATGTATATACATAATTGCATATATATATATGTGTGTGTGTGTGTGTGTGTGTGTAAATAGTCACATTAATCTTTCTCTCTGCGAATTCTATTGTGATCTTGATATGAAAGCACAAATTTGTAGCTTTCAAATGTATACACAAATTTGAGTAAAATCTTTATTTGATATGAAGCACTCCAATGGACAATACTCAGATTAAACATAAATTTGTGCAAAAGCTTCAGTAATGTGGCATAGTTGTAATTTTGAAAGCTACAAATTGGTCTTCAAAATTTTGAGTCTACTTTGATTCGGGTGAAAAAATGTGTAAAGCACAATTTGATGTAAGTTTTTGAGTAAAGTGGAGAGTTTTTTTTTTTAGTGATTTTTACCCAAATTTAACTTTGGTATTGGTTTGAGGGAAAACTCATATCTGATATTAAAATTGGATCATCGCAAATCTGCTCTGGAATTTGAAAAATCTGTTTGCATATTGTCGAATAGTTCTACTTGTTTTTAAAAAGTAATCAGGGAGAGAGAGAGAAAAAAAAAAAAAAATCTCATCTTTTTCCATTGGATGGTTAATAGATTTTATTTATTACTGAAATGTTATGTGTGCAGAAAAATACCTAGAAAATAGATTTTATTATTGTCTCATAACATTTACAATGATTTTGATTCACACATTTCAAATTCTCCGCATTTTTTAGCTTTGCTGATAAAGTAATTGGCCAAAGGCTAAGAAAGCCAAATAGTGTTATGTTTGGATATTAGGGGTTTGCCAAGAGTAATGAATAAATTTAACTTCTTTAGCTTCATTTTCTTCTTATATTTTCCTTCCACAAATTCATGATCCAAACATAGCCTAAAGTATTGATCAATACTTAAGTCTTTTGTGGTTATATATGTACTTTGGTTCGTATAGGGTGACTAATCCAAACATATACCTTCCTATATTTCTCTTTTGGTGATGGTTCTAGGTTAAGCAAAAGGAATATATGCGGAGACTGGGCTGTTGTTTCCTCTGGAATTTTCATTCTCATCTTTGTTCTTCCAAAGCCTATTGCGAGTAGGTGGGTTATATTTTGGTTCAAAAGCGCCAATTGAAAATTGAGAGCAGGCAAGTAACAGTATTGTTACAGATCACACAGCCATGGTTCTTTTGTTCCGCAATAAACAAGCCCATGTAAGGTGTTTTGCTGAAATATATTCAACAACTAGTATACTGCATTTCCTTCAAGACCGCCCTATATCATCGTCATCTTTGCCTCTGAAATCAACTTCTTCAAATCAACACTCATTTACTGTCTCTTACCTCATAGACTCATGTGGGATCACTCCAGAACAAGCTCAATCAGCTTCTAGGTATGTCAACTTTAAATCCCCAGATAGACCAAACTCAGTTCTCACCTTCTTGAAGAACCATGGACTCTCCAAAACCCAAATCTCAAATGTCGCCAGAAAAGTTCCTGCTATTCTTTCGTATGATCCCAAGAAAACCCTTTTACCCAAATTTGAGTTTTTGTACTCTATAGGCATTTCAAAAGCTGACCTTGCAAAAGCAATAACTGCAGGCCCAGCTGTGTTGAAACGAAGCCTAGAGAACCAGATTATCCCATCTTTCAATTTCTTCAAAGCTTTGTTACACTCAAATACTAAATTTATCACTGCCTTTAAACGATACCCGGAAATACTTACTATAGATCACAAAGCTGTTACAATCCCCAACATCGAAATTATGAGACAACATGGCGTGCCAGAGTCAAAAGTTGTGTTTTTGCTTACTAATCAGCCTAGATTATTTACAGTGAAGCCTGAAGAATTTAAAAAGACAGTGAATGAAGTGAAGGAAATGGGTTTTGACCCTTCGAAATTGCATTTTGTTCTAGCGGTTCACGCATTGAGGTCAATGAGAAAATCAACATGGCAAAGGAAGGTGGAGGTTTATGGGAAGTGGGGTTGGTCCGAGGAACAAACAATTCAAGCTTTTGGAAAAAATCCATGGTGTATGATGGCATCCGAGGAGAAGATAATGGCAGTAATGGATTTTTATGTCAACACAATGGGTTGGGAATCTTCACGAATTGCCAGACGTCCAAAATTTGTATCGCTAAGCTTGGAGAAGAGAATTGTCCCAAGGTGTTCTGTTGTTCAAGTTTTGTTGTCAAAAGGTTTGATTGATAAGAAACGCCTTCGTTTAGCAACATTGTTGGAGTCTACTGAAAGTTCATTTCTTGAGAAGTTTGTGATCCGGTACAATGAACAAGCACCCGAACTCTTGAAACTATATCAGGACAAAATTGGTCTCCAAAAGTCATAGGGGAATGGGTGTGAAATTAAGACCAAATAATCACAGAATGTCCAGCGCTCGAATCTATCTAAGTTGGCATTTCTTCTGTTTGCGTTTCTTCTTGTTTCTGAAACATTTGGTTGCATATTTGACTGATTTTACTATTGACAATGTTAATGTTGCTATTACCGAAACCTTTCATGCTCTTGTGATTGTAAACCGTGAATGCATAAGATTCATAAGTTTAACATGACAGAATGCAAGAATTTTTTGATTCTGAATGATGTCAGTGCGATGGCATGGTTCAACACATCAGCCTCAACGGTTGAGTCATTGGACTATCAGGCAGTTCCTTTTATGGGTCATGAAGTGGAATGGATTGTAAGACATTGGTTAAATGTGATCGGTACAAATTACATGTTTTTCCAATTTGCGCCGATACTCGATTCCTATTATTATTATTATTATTTTACATTATTCTTAATGCTGGGTTTGATCTTCTTAACCAATTGCAGAAGTGTACAGAACGACAGTTTCCACCTGCCGATGTAGCCCAGATGCTCGATTCTGCTGTCACCGGTTTGCAGCTATGCTGCTCGCAGAGCCATCCGATCTATGCGGAGATGCAAAAGTGCATGGGAATCATCAGAAACCAAATATTGGCAGTCATACCCACTTAGCCTCAGTACTATTATTGAATCCTCACAGTATACTTGCAAATGTAGAGAGTAAAGATGGTATTTGTATAAGCTCTCAGATTTTGAAACTAGTTAAAATAGTTTCACTTTTTTTTTTTCTAAGTTATTTATGTCCCTCTGATTTGAATAGAGATCAATACATAGGAATGTAACTTTGTAAAAATCTTTCAGTTTATGATGTTTCATTTCTTCCTATTTCATTTACGTTATACTTGTTTTTGGTACATCGGAAAGACAAAACAAATAACGGAAAACAACATAAAGCAGGAAGGTAAATCGGAGATTAAATCCTTTGATAAGCCATTCCAATCGTGTCAGCCACTAGCTGACTTCTGATTTTAGTAGGGAGGTTCCTCCATGACCACAAGCTGATCCATTTGGTCTGAATCCATTTTGGCGAGTATGTCAGCGCATTTGTTGCCCTCTCACATGATGCTGCGAATGGTGTAATTGCATCTCCGAATAAGATGTCTTGAGTCGTCAACAATACTGCAAAGCGAGCATTTTTGTGATGGTCCTTCAGTCAGCAGATTTTATAAGATGTCTTGAGTCGTCAACAATACTGCAAAGCGAGCATTTTTGTGATGGTCCTTCAGTCAGCAGATTTTCAGCAAAGGATGAGTCGGTTTCAATAATTACTTCATGCAATCCCTTCTCAAGCACAATCGTAAATCCTCTCTACAAGCCCCATATCTCGTCTTTCAAGCTTGAGCAAGAGTCGAGCTTTCCAAAATACCCGCATAACCAAAAAATTTTTTCGTCCTCGAAAACTCCTCCAAGTCCACCTTTGCCTGGGTCTCTTCTAGCACTTCCATCAGTATTCAACTTTATCTTACCTATAGGAGGCGGCAACCACTTAATTAGAATGAGTTATACATAGTGTGGGGATATATTTTTTGAATACCAACACATAGCAAGGTGACGCCGACGTGTCAGTCGATGTGCCACGTGTCCTGGTTGTAACGCTGAGGTTATCTCGGCAAGGCCGAGGATATGTCCGAAGATATTGGAGTCCGATATATGCGGATAGGGGACAAGAGTCCTAGCATAAAGAGGAGATTTAGCCAAGATAAGGATAAAACTCTTAAGGAGTTTATCTTTATTTCTTGAGAAGTCCAAAGAAGTTCTGAATTGGAGTCCATAGAAGTCAGGCTTCTAGTGGGACTAGGATTGGGTAAACTATAAAAGAGAGGCGCCCCCGTGGGTCTAAGGTACGCAATCTATGCTTTGAATAGTAAGTTTAGCACTTGATTATCTTGGAGAGATATACTGACTTGATCGTCGGAGTGCCCCTGAGTGGACGAACCACCGCCGGAATCTTCTCTTTCTGTTGCAGGTCAGCCATGTGCCATCTATTCTGCCGGTGCTCTCCAGCTGGTTACTAAGTGGGCAGTATGGTCAGAAAATCACTCACACAATTTGGCGCCGTCTGTGGGAAGAAAGAAGAATAAATGGCCAGTAACGGACAGAAGGAAAAGATTGGGGACGATGCTCCTGTTGACAATGGCAGACCTATCGACCTTGATATCGAAGGAGACAACCACAATGCAGAAACTCGTGACCAGGGCCACGGGGAGAAAGACGTCGGCCAGGAAGGCGACACTTCAAAGAAGACAGATCAAAGCAGGTACTATAACAAAGATAACCTCCAGGTATGGAGGGATAGATGCCTACGGAGGGATGAAGAAGTAAAAGAATTGGCAAACAAGTTGGCAGACCTGCAGTCGGTCGTCAACTTCATGATGCAGAATAATGTCATGCAGCCACCGTATCCACTGCAGGACACGCCGATTCCAGCAGCTAATACCCAGAAGGGAGGAAGGAAAACAATCCCCGAAGCCCCTCAGCACACCAGAAGCGGAAGGCACTCTCACCGACCTTCCAGGGAAGTCGGACGACAGGAGCCAAGAAGAGAGTAGTCCCGAAGGACGTATCACACGAAGGACGCAGAGCCCAAAGAACATCGACATGTTCAAGGGCAAGCGCTCTGCTTTGACACATCCCATGGAGAAAGATCGAAACGAGCCCACCACGAGGTCGAAAGTAGTGTGCCGAAAAGATTGAAGTCCAGAGATAGCCGAGCTCCAGGGAGGAGTAAAGAAGACTTGAGAGATTACCTCAAAAGGAAGCACCAGAATGCTGAAGCCGAGGTAACTTCCCCAGTTAAGCCGAGGACACCATTCTCAGTGGACCTGGACAAATTTGAAGCACCAAAGAGATTCAGTATGCCGAGGTTCCAAATATATGAAGGTAAATCAGATCCCAACTTTCACGTTGGACTATACCTGAACTCAATGGCATTATATAGTGGGAACGAGCCGTTGCTCTGCAAAGTATTCCCCTCATCCTTTGGGGAAATTGCATCAGATTGGTTCCATAAACTACCGAAGGGAAGCGTAAAGACTTGGGAAGGCCTGGCTGAGATGTTTGTGGTCAGGTTTGTGACGAACAAACTGTAGCCCTTAAGGGTCGACGCACTAATGGCTTTAAAAATCACTAAGGACGAAGGCCTTAGGGCCTACGCAAAAAGATACTACGAGGTGTTCAATCGAATACCCGAATGCAACCAAGAGATGGCGGTCGTGTCTTTCAAGAACGGCCTGAAAGATAATTGCCCACTTCGGAAGTCTTTGGCAAAGACATTGCCAAAAAGCATGGAAGAACTCATGGTGAGGATCGAGAAGTACGCCAGAGCCGAAGAGGATACGTTGGGAAATAAAGAGACAAAGCAGGAGAAAGAAAACGGCTCGCCGAAGTGAGGCCGAGGTAACAATGGATCAAACAAACAAGAAACGGAATTGAGGGCTAAACAGGCAGTGACAACAGTGTTCCGAATCCCTATCCACAAAGTCTTGGATCAAATACGAAACCAACCCTATTTCAGGGCACCGGCAAGAGCACCAGGGGAATTTATGGGAAGAAACGTTGGTAGGCGCTGTGCTTACCACAATGAAGAAGGGCACCCAACTCAGGGTTGCAGAGCCTTAAAAGCACACTTAGAAGACTTGGTAAGGCAAGGCCTTCTGAAGGACCTAGTCGATGAAGCCAGGACAAGGGAAGAACAGGCAAGATTGCCTCAAGCACCAGTAGCTCCGCTCCCCCCCCAGTACAGCAACCACAAGCAGGAGGACCACGGGTGGTTAATATAATCCACTCAAAGGTGAACGAAAGCGACATACGAGGGGAAACCCAGAAGGTAAAACACCTACAGCACGTGAACCAGGTCGGGAATAAAAGACCTCGGCCTGAAGAATGCCAGGGACCAACGATAGCCTTTACTGAAACCGACCTGGAGATGGTCCAGCAACCACATAATGAGGCCTTGGTAGTATCCCTCTAGGTTGGGAAGTGCCAAGTGAAATGCATCCTGATTGATCAAGGCAGCTCTTGCGACATCATGTATGTTAGATGTTATAAGGAATTGGGCCTTCACCCTGATGACTTGGAGCAATCCAACGGCCTGATGGTCGGCTTCAATGGAACGCCGACATGGCCACTGGACGCAACAAACTTGGAAGTACAAACCGGCACTAAGAAGATCAAGACAGAATTTTTGGTAATTGACACGCCCTCACCATACAACATCATCTTGGGAAGGCCATGCTTGCATGCAATGGGGGCAGTTCCCTCAACGCTGCATCAACTACTACGGTTCCCAACAGAGCATGGGACTAAAGAAGTCAGAGGAGATCAACTGCAGGCAAAGAATTGCTCCATGGCAGCAATGAAGTCTACCTGCAGCGTGCGAGAGCCAAAGAAGGCAGAAATTGAAGATGAGGACGTGGAAGTCCTAGAAGACGTCGGCAAAGAACCAGCCGAGAAGAGCGAAGAGGTGCTAAAGAAAATCCTCGTCCAAGATGGGGATGAAGAACGCTTCTTTCTTCTCGGCTCAGGCTTAGCCGAAGAAGAGGAAAAAGAGTTGAAAACTTTTCTAAGAGCCAACATTGAGGTGTTCGCCTGGACACCTTACGAAATGCCTAGCATTGACCCCGAGGTCACTTGCCACAGACTGAATGTCGACAGGTCGGCAAAACCTGTGATACAACGAGCTAGAAGACTGATGTTGATGCACATCGAAGCAGTAGAAGAAGAAGTAGACAGACTTCTGGAGGCCAGGGCCATTTGAGAAGTTCACTACCCGACATGGCTATCCAACACAGTAGTGGTAAAGAAGAAGAACGGTAAATGGAGGGTCTGTGTAGACTTCACCAGTCTCAACAAAGCCTGTCCCAAAGACAGCTTTCCTTTGTACAAGATTGACCAGCTAGTAGATGCTACTTTAGGGCATGGAAGAATGAGTTTTCTAGATGCCTACAGGGGGTACCACCAGATAGCTATGTACCCTTTAGACGAAGAGAAGACAGCGTTTATCACCCCTAAAGGACTGTACTGTTACAAGGTAATGCCCTTTGGGTTAAAAAATGCAGGAGCAACTTACCAAAGGTTGGTAACCAAGATGTTCAAACGCCTGATTGGCCAAACAGTAGAGGTCTACATCGATGACATAGTCGTGAAGACTAAAGAACCTAAGGGTCATCTTGCCGACCTAAAAGAGGTATTTGATATACTCAAAACATACCGACTCTGACTCAACGCATCGAAGTGCGCGTTTGGAGTTGGATCAGGTAAGTTTTTGGGGTACCTGGTAACAAGAAAAGGCATTGAGGCCAGCCCAGATCAAATCAGGGCCATCCTAGAGATGAAAAGCTCGACGTCGGCAAAACAGGTTCAGATACTTACTGGAAGGGCCGCAGCCCTAAACAGATTCATCAGCAGAAGCTCAGATAAGTGCAGACCCTTCTTCAACCTGGTGAAAAAAGCCACAGACTTCCTGTGGACAGAAGAATGCAAAGCCGCTTTGACCGACCTGAAGAAATACTTGACCATGGCTCTAGTCCTCTCAACACCTGAACCTGGGGAAGAGCTGTTTTTGTACTTGGCAGTGTCAGAACACGCAGTCAGTGCAGTGCTAATCCGAGAGAAAAAAAGGGAGCAAAAGGCTATTTATTATGTAAGCAAAACATTGGCCAATGCAGAAACAAGGTACCTACCACTAGAGAAACTAATGCTGGCTTTAGTAATGGCTTCAAAGAAGCTGAACCATTACTTTCAAGCGCACAAGATCATAGTGCTAACAGAGCACCCACTGAAGTCCTTGTTACAACAAGGAGACTTGACTGGAAGAATAG